ATATATATAAATGTATAATGTTATGAGATTAAAGCTACTTAGTCTAAACATTTATGTTTTTGTAGTCATTCTAGTACGAAAAAGGCATAATTTATATTTCCTAATTTTTTTAATGTGGTTAGGAGATCGGTCAAATCGACCAAACCTGTACAGAGATTTGTTACTGAAAATAACACACAAAATATGAAGCATTTCTTAAGAAATGTTTGATAACTATCTGGACATTATAAAGATTTCACATATGAATTTAAAAATTTTCTGATCCACAGAAGTATTTTTAATCTTAAAATGAAAATTACTTTGTATGTTTGATAGGCAACATGCAAAAAGAAAAAAAAAAGGCAGGAGAAAAATCTTAAGACTTAATAAAAAAATTTGATATTTTGCATATAGAAGCATTAACATATGCTTACTAATTTAAAAGTTATAGCATGAAAACTACAACAAGCACAAAATGGTTACGAGGTCGGTCCCAGAGTTAAGTAGAAACAGATGTAAACTGCTATGAGCCTTAAGCTACAAGATAATTCAAAATTGTTAATTTAATAAGGGAATAGGGATTGTCAAAAAGTACAGAAATAAGATGAACCATGATGCAAAAATTATATTTTCAAACCTATAACTAGGGACTCTAAAAAAAATAAAAAAATAAGGCTGGAACTAGTGTCTATTATTTTCTCAAACTACAAATCCATATTTTGACTCCATATCTACAGTACCAATCGGTACTTTTTTGATGATCACTTTTCCCAGTTTTAAATTAACAATTTTTAATTACATTGTTTTTAAAGTTTTTCAATGTCCATTTATGGAGAATAAAGTTTAAACTACATACGTGCATATGCATTCAGTTGAATGTTACATGTTTTTAGACAGTTTACTGCTGCATTAGCTTTTTTTCCACCCAATCAGGTGGTTTTCTGCCTGAGATTTCATGTAAGCATGCATTTCACATGTGTTCAGTATAAAGGAAGCTGCTCAGAACATCATCACATATATTATGTATTTATAGCCACATAAATCAACTTTCAATGAAAAATAATCAACTTTTTAAATAGGTCACGGAGACTCAGAGCATTTCATATAGTATATCTGTCTAGGTTTTGGTGCAAAATACCCAGTCCATTTTGCTGTAAGCTTGTGAAACAAAAATACGAATAAAAATAATAAAATAATACTAAAATATGCACCCACAATTTCAGAAAAGTACAAAAAGTACCACTCACATTAGTAGAGAAATCTACTATGGATTTATTTAATGTTAGAAAATTCCCAGAAATAGTTGCAGAAAACCATGTAGACAAAGTACAACATTGAACTTGAGAAATGACGAATCCTCAACGTAGCAGTTTTCAATTAAGGCACTCCAAGTTGCACAAATTATTTTCCAATAAATGCACATTAGTAAAACACTGGATTTTTTCAGTGAAGGAAAGTGAAAGACTTAAGAGAAATTCTTTAGGGTGAAAAAATGAAGGAGCTTGAATTAATTTTAAAACTACCCTATGACATACTCAATACTGCATTCATTACTATTGTCTAGGTTTCAGTAAAATATCTGTAGTGATATTTACTGTAGAAGCTTGTAAATCAATAATCAATAATAACAAGGCTGGAGACACTGTTATAAGCATACGTATTGTTTACCCTAATAAAACGAAGCATTTCCAACTAGTATAATGGTGTGCTTAAATGGCTTTGAAGAGCTTATATTGATAGCGAAGGAGAACTTAGAAAATTTTAAAAGTGCAAATCTTGACTTTCAAGAACAACTTAAAAATAGCTCCACAACTTTAACAGGAATTTGTTTTGTAACTGTGTATAAATTCTGGCACAGTATATCTAGCCATTTTTGCTGTAAGCCTCAGTGATTCAATGGTTTTGAAGAGAAACTTGGCCAGTAGCAAAGAAAAAAATTGATAAAATCTCTCTTCCTCTTTAAAGAATCAACATAAAAATAGTCCTATGACATGTACAGAAGTTTTTTAGTAGGTTTGTCCAAGTTTGAATAAAATATTCATGCCTGTTTTCTTCTGTAGGCTTATGAAACAAGAATAATATGAATAACAATATTAATAATATCAAGAACAAATGGATGAATTTTGAATTTTGTCTAACAATCAGAAAATCAGTTTATTTTTCTATTATCAATATTTTAGCAGCATCAGCCATCTAGACAGAAGGTCTTGAGTGTTGTTTCAAAAAACAAGTCTGCTTTTTAAGATAGTTTTTTCCTCTATACTCTACTGGAATTTCTGTGAAATTCCTGGGCAAACCTTATTATGAACCACTATCATGGTTCATGATTTATGATAAACAAATGTAATTTCCTGTTACAATTTGCTGTCATTCTACAAAGAAAAAAGGAGTAATTTAGATTTTGTAATTTTTATGGTGGATTCAAGGTTAGTCAAATTGATCAGACCATATAGAGTTAGAGTAGAGAAAATAACACATAATATATAAAGTTTTACTGAAAAATATATGTTTGATATTTAGTTAGGAGGTTTAGAGGTTACACAAATAATATTTGAAATTTTTCAGATGAATAAAACTATTTTTAATCTTAGCACGAAAATCACTTTGCACCAGAGCAGTCAACTTTGACTCCATATATTCATGGATAAATCTTTTACTAAAAAAATTGATTAAAAAAATCTGATTTTTTATGTACAAAAGGCTTGTTATGTTTACTAAAAGCTTGCCAAATTTCATGAAGATGAACAAACATATTAAAAGCCATAGTATGGAAAAACTGATTGTTACTTTGTTGTTACAAAGTCTGGCACATCAACCAACCCTGTATGGAAAAAGTTAATGGCAACGACTAAACTGAAACATGGAAACTAGAAGAAAAACACATTAATAAAATAAAGCAGCACTGTGTAAACTTGTTAGAAATGTAGGCCACTGCCAATTTAAATAAATGATTAAAATATTATTTGTAGTTTAACATGCCACAGTTTCTAATGAAATAGATTTTCCAACTTATGTATACAACTTGTTATTAAAACAGACAAACAAATGACCACAGCTACAAAGATCCAAAATCAACATGATTCATACAAAACAAACCATCTGTGAATATGCAAAAAAAAACTCCACATATCACAAAGAGATCAATATAAGAATTAACTTACCACTTTGTGTGCCATCTTCACCAGTAAGGATGATCTGACCATCCTGATTAAGCGTTGACACTGCTTCACCATGAAGATCAACATTGAGTGATGCCAGCTGTTGGTTACGCTGGTTTGTCTCTTCTGGTTGCGAAGCAGCAGCAACCTCTGCTAAGGTCTGAACATTCTGTGTGCCATCAGAAACTACATTCTGAATCTTAGAGAGAGAAAAAAAACATCATATGAAACACTACAATGAACAAAATTATCACTTACTGTACATTTGTTTTTTAGAGTTTTGTGCATATATTTGTATAAATGAATGCATCTGTTGTACTTATACACGTTCACTTACAATAATATTTTTCTTTTAAAAATGTAAAAAATAATGTACTTAATTTGCATATAAAAAGAGAGCATAGCACAGAATATTTTATTTACTTAGTAGACCCTTTAGTGATTTTTCTTCGTTATAAACTTACACCATGGTTACAAAGAATAATCACACATTCAGCCAGTACTAAAGCTGTCAGAAATTACAAATGACAGATGAAAGTTTATCATGATGAAGATAAAAGAGGTCTAGTCACCAGTTCATTAGGTATATTGCCCATTTTAGCAACTTTTAACTGTGAACTACATTGTTACAGTTTTTGGCATTGACTAATTCAGTGTTCAGTCTTGGAAAGACATTGAATTGTTGGAAAGGGTTCAGAGAAAGGTTACTAGAATAGTGCCTGGGATGGAGGGGTTGTCATACAAAGAGAGACTGAATCTCTTAAACTGTTTTCTCTTGAAAAAAGAAGAGTTGAGGTGTTTAAGATTGTAAAGAGAATTGATAGTGTTGATGCATCATATTTTTTTCATATCTAACAGTGAGACTAGGGAACACAAATATAAATTTTGGCAAGGTAGGAGTCATCTGCTAAAAGAGTTTCATGTTTATAACAGGGTGGTTGGCCTTTGGAACAGGTTCTCCTTGGATGTTGTAGAGGCAGTAAATTTAAGTAAGATTAAGAAAAAGCTTGTTAAATATATGAATGATAAGGGCTGGTTTTTAAAAATTGTCTTTTTTTTTAATTATTTTAATTTAATTTTGAGGGTGGAACAGCAGAGATAGACCAATAGGTCTCATGTTGTCCCAAAACTTTATGTTGTTATTTTATCTTTGGTTTAGTCAGTCAGTAAATTACTTGTTCAATAATGCTTGACGTTATCTTTAAAAAAAAAAGGATTTAATTCACAGGCAACACAAACACAATGAACTTTTTTACAGATCAAGATTATATAGAAACTCTTTCGATCCTATCATTGGGTCAACTGCTGATACACAAAAAACAGCTTGTATTACAATGATTAGTTTTAGTAATGCACTTTCAATTTTCTTTTATTTTTTCAAACAATGTCTCTCTCTTTTTTCAAGATATTTCCGAGTCTGTATCATTATCACAAAAGATACTGTTGAAGACTTTTCACTTTAATAATAAGTATTTATTTAACTTCCTTTCCGAGTGTTTGGGTATTCAAATGACCTAATGATACCAGAATTTACATGAAGAATACGTCTGAGAATGGAAAACAACCATTCTATGTTTTATTGAGTGCTGGAGCTTTTTTTCTATTTTTCTTTAAATATTTATGTTACTTTGGAATCAAACAATTAAAATTCGTGCTTGATAATAAACAACATTTAATACCCAAATCTGAATAAATCTACCATCTTTATATATCTTAACAAACTTAAATTCTACCATTTTCCTATAAAATTATAATTTAATGAAGATAAAAATTAGTTATTCTCTTTTTTACTTTACTTCTTTCACGTTATTTATACATTTTTTGGTATTTTGTGAGATACACAACCAGCATGTCCAGTACCAGTATGACAAGACATAGCATATACAGGGTGTCCCCAAATATGTATACACACTTTGAATGATTATAAATGCAATGTTTATTAAGATATATCTAACTTTTATAATTCAAGTTAAAGAAGACAAGTGTAGAATCTTTTAGAGCTCATAACTCACTTAAACTTTCTTTCTTTACAGGTGTAACTGATTTGATGTAATGGCAGAAGCAAGACTAAGCTTTGAGAAAAGGAAATTTATCCTAAAGTGCTACTGGAAGTGCGAGAACGTAGCTGAAGTGCAAAGACTGTTTAGAAGGGAGTTTCAAATAGATCCACCTACGCGACTCACCATTACTTGCATCAGAGATAAGTTTGAAGCAGATGGAACTGTTCAAGATGTCCATTTTTTTTTCGAAAACACAAAGTCACTGGTGCTGTTTATCTGAATTTGCTGCAGGAATCCATCATGCCACGCATTTGAGAGCAATTTGTAGATGAGGAGTTTTATTTCCAGCAAGATGGAGCACCTCCCCACTACCATCATGATGTGAGGGCCTATCTTTATGAAAATCTGCCAAACAGATGGATTGGGCTAAGAGGTAGCATTGAATTCCCCCACGTTAACCAGACCTCACACCACTAGACTTTTTATGGGGATATCTCAAAAATAAGATTTATATCACAAAACCTGCAACAATCAATGAGTTGAAAGCAGCAATTGAAAGAAAATGTGCCATAATACCAAATGAAATGATTCGTGATGCTTGCAATTCCATCTGTCATCATTATCAGCAGTGCCTGGACCAGAACGGTTATCAGGTTGAACACCTGCGATAACTCAAACTACTCTACACTTGTCATCTTTAACTTGGATTATAAAACTCGGATATATCTTAATAAACATTCTATTTATAATCATTCCAAATGTGTATTCATTTTTTGGGACACCCTGTATTTTCATAAATCAGTGAGGAATTTGACTGGGGTCAAAGATCCACAAAACAAAACATCCTTTTCCATATCTGTTGTTTTTACTTACTGCTAAAGGAAGAGAATTGACAGCATTAACTGTCCTAACTTGAGCATGAGAGCCATCAGGTAGCGTGACCATGGTACTACCAGGATCAATTTGCAAGATGGAAACTGTGCCATCAGGATTGCTAATGGTCTGGACAACAGCTGGAGCATAATGTGCTACCAAAGGTTGTGTGTATAATGTCTGGAGAAAAGATACAAGAACATTCAATGTTACATTAATATGTTTTACTTCAGCTATATACTGTTATCCATGTCATAACTAAAACTGAAGCTAAATGTCATAAATCTATGTTTTAATTCAATTTTGAAAACAATTACACATACACACACACTGAAAATATTAGAAAATAACAATATTTGCAACTTTCTTTCTACACCTACTTTTCATAAATTGAAAATGTATTTCCAATAATACTTACCTCATCTCACACTCGACTGCTAGGGTTTCTTTTCCTTTGCCCTTCTAAATATTGGTCTGTTTTTTTTCTCACTTCCTCCAGTCTTTTATAACCCACTTAATTGCCCTTGGCAACATCTGTCTCCTGACACACTCCACCTATGTCAATGCGCCCTCTATCTTGGTTCTCTATATAAGCACCTCCTTCAGATAATATTGTCCCTTTTCAAGACTGACACAATCCACAGACTCTAACATTGGCTCTTAACAGGGAGGAAGGGCGGGAGAGTGTAAGAAGGGGAGATATTATTGAAAATATATTTTCAATTTAAGAAAATGTTATCTTCCAAAACATACCTACTTTCACACTACAGTTAAAATCCCACATTGATAAGGTGAAGGGGTTGGTGAGGGCATTATCCATATAGAATGCATCTGTATAGATCATGGGTATGCCAATAGAAGACTAGCACCCTAGTGGGGGAACTGCACTACATCCAGAAAAGGTATACTCTTCACCCAGAACATAAATCACGCACTGCAGGTGGAATTTGATGTGATCCGTCATCACCACTGGTCAGACCTCAACCAGGTAGCTGAGGCCCCACTGCTGGGTGTTAGAATTATAGGGCTATGGCCCCCAAATCCCATGTTGGTGACTAGGGCATTTGGACCACAATATATATACTTGTGAGTGGATCCCAACCTGTAATTATAGAGTGATGCATTCTGAGCCACTGGAATCATGAAGAGAAGGTAAGCAACAATGAAGTGGACAAACCCTCTCCTCAACCTGAAAAAGTTTGAAAGGCAACACCCCAAACTTGGAATGATGAGATCCTGTATGCCATACTCAACCTGAGAAAACATAACTCGTCTGGTCTGGGATTATGAACACTCACCCTCACTCCTCAACTGTGTGGGAAACTTGGAATGATGAGATCCTGTATGCCATACTCAACCTGAGAAAACAGAACTCGTCTGGTCTGGGATTATGAACACTCACCCTCACTCCTCAACTGTGTGGGAAAGATAATTCCAATTATGGGGAGGACGTAAAACAAACAGTGCTCAACCAAGGACCCAGGATGAGACCACTCTGCACTCGGAATTACGAGGAAACAATGAACCCTTTTCCATGAACAATGTACTAAACCAATATTGATCAAAAAGGGCCATGCTCAACCCAACCAGATAGCAGAGCATCAAAACTGAACTGGTATTACAAGAAGGCTTCCACATATGCTGATGCCACTCCTACCAACATCTTGGAAAAAAAACATCCAGGTTCCGGGTAAGATGGAACACTCTGGAGGAATAACCTCTGTCTATCAACTCAGTAGCTGGAAACCAGTAGTAGTAGGAACTCCCTAGCTCCACCAGTAAAATAAGGGGGGGGGGGAGCATTGGGGAGCCCTGTGGAACAATGCTCTGGAAACAGTGGAATAACTGAACCAAGTTCCCTTATTCTTAAAAGCAAACCAACTCTGATTTATACAATCCACTGATCGGCAGGGAACTGTGATCTATTCAGGGTGACCACAGACTCTGTTCTGGAACCCCACATTTACAGGAGTGGGTCTATTCCCCAAGAGTCTAAGTATGCTTCCACCTGGCAGTTAAAGTAGGTTGTTCTGAGAAAAGTAGCAACAAGGCACAGCTGTCCCTTCACATAACTGAGCAGTAAACTTCCCTGCATGAACCACAACATCAGGGTATTGAGGGAGAACTAAGTACTAGCCTTCAGGCCTTTCTGCTATCAAGGAAGGCACACACTCAAAAGCAACTGGGGAAATATCCAAAACATCATGCACTTGATGTACCAAATGAGGAAAAGGAGGCAGCTGATTCAAATTGGCCTCTGAGATCCCCGGCAAAACACCACTAGGCTGAAAGTATATCTCATTATGGATAAGGTCACAAACAGCCTCAACCAAGAACAACGCTAAATATCAAAGGTGGAATAGGAGAAATCTGATTTGCCTCTGTTCCAGATACATTAATCCAGGAATTCATGCCGTAAATCGGCTTGCCAAATGAAATTATATATATATATATATATTTTTTTTTTTAGTTTTACCAAAAACAGGTAACACAAAGAACAGTTAAAGTATCTCCAACAGTTGTATTACAGAGAAACCCATTAGTGAACACTTTGTCAAGAAAAAAGTTACAATAGTATCTGAAGGTGAAGGAAGTATTATACAGAGATGAAAGTGTCCCTTTCCTAAAAATAATCGAAGCCAAGTAAGGGGGG